TTGCTTCGCAAGACGATTTTCCCTATGGGCTTGCTTCGCAAGACGAAAGCCCATAGGGAAATCTCCGGGACAGCGGGGAAGCGCAGCGTGTCTTCCCCACTGTCCTCAGACCTCCTCCCGCCGCCCGCCATCGGAACGAAGCTCCGATGCCGGGCGGGGGGGCGGGAACGCGTTCTCCCGCCGCCCGCCATCGGAACGAAGCTCCGATGCCGGGCGGGGGGGTGGGGACACCTCCTCCCGCCATCAGAACGAAGCTCCGATGCCGGGCGGGGGGGCGGGGACGCGTTCTCCCGCCGCCCGCCATCGGAGCGAAGCTCCGATGCCGGGCGGGGGGGCGGGGACGCGTTCTCCCGCCGCCCGCCATCGGAACGAAGCTCCGATGCCAGGCGGGGGGGGCGGGGACGCCTCCTCCCGCCACCCGCCATCGGAACGAAGCTCCGATGCCGGGCGGGGGGGCGGGGACACCTCCTCCCGCCGCCCACCATCGGAACGAAGCTCCGATGCCGGGCGGGGGGGCGGGGACACCTCCTCCCGCCGCCCGCCATCGGAACAAAGCTCCGATGCCGGGCGGGGGGCGGGGACACCTTCTCCCGCCACCCGGCTTCGGATGGCTTTCCTGAAGACTTGGGGTGGGAGGAGGGTTTTCCTTCCCACCGCCAACATTCAGAATGCTGTTCTGAATGTTGGCGGTGGGGAGTAAAAACCCTCCTCCCACGCAAGCCCCGGGAACAGAGGGAAAGCGCTGCGCGCCTTCCCCTCTGTTCCCGTACCTGTCCTGAAGGCTTGCGGTGGGGAGAAAAGCCCTTCTCCGCACCGCCAGCCTGGCAAGCGGTTTCCCTAGGAACGCATTAATTGATTTTCAATGCATTCCTATGGGAAACCGTGCTTCGCAAGACGAAAAACTCGCAAGAAGAATAAACTTGCGGAACGAATTAATTTCGTCTTGCGAGGCACCACTGGATGCTAAATGGTGTAGCTAAATCCAGATTTTGAATGTTTTTATTACTGGCTGAACTTGTTTGTGCGGTTACGACCCAAGAGGAAGTGTGGTCTAGAAATGTGTTCCATCATAATCATGGTTTGCATATATTATCATAGAATCATGGAGGCTGTCTAGTCCAGGAGCTGCCATTGTGGTTCCCAAAGGTGTCTCTGTGTCCTCCTCTGGCACCTGTGAAGGTTCTCCAGTGGATTGAGCAGACAAGACCAATAGTGGGTCAATAAGATGGTTTCTGTATGTGCTATAGAAGAAAGCGAGGGGCAGATGGGGCTTGTCAACCTGGGAAGGTAGCCCATCTAGGAGGAGGAAAACTCTGATCCTAAACTTCTTCTGCCTTGTGGGATATCTTCAGGAGAAGAAAAGGCTAAACCCTACACAAATCCAGAGTGGAATCCCTAAGGCAGTTGGATGGCACCTTATACCTCCCCTCCCAGCAACTCCTACAGCCAAGCTGGTGCCAAATGTATTGTTCTGATTTCCTTTGGACCACATCAGTGAGGCCAAAAGGGGTCTTCTCGCCTGGGCAGTCCTGGACCTCCATACACACTGTCCAGGAGAGGGCATGTCTAATTTTGAAGAAACTGACATAACTGAATCAGGGCCGGATTTAGGTTTGATGAGGCCCTGAAGGTAATTGAGCCCTTTATATGTCCAGCTGTCCTTTGTCAACAAATTGCCGCTGTTTTTGTGTGTGCTGAATATACAGTGGTACCTCGGGTTACAGATGCTTCAGGTTGCAGACTCCGTTAACCCAGAAATAGTACCTCGGGTTAAGAACTTTACTTCAGGATGAGAACAGAAATCGCGTGGCAGCGGGAGGCCCCATTAGCTAAAGTGGTACCTCAGGTTAAGAACAGTTTCAGGTTAAGAACGAACCTCCAGAACAAATTAAGTTCTTAACCCGAGGTACCATTGTATGCTATATGGTAATTTATGGACCTAAAGCCGTTTGCACATAACAAATAGGAGCCTATACAACATAAAACATTGTTGCTGTATGTAGGTTTTATTTTATTTGTTTTTAATCTTTTATTTTGGAAATGTACATCGAGCGGGGGGGACGGACAAGAGAGTGGGCCCTAAACTATAGCTTGTTTAGCTTATACATAAATCCGGCACTGTACTGAATAGAGCAGAAAGTGTGCTGAGAGGAGGTTTGTTCCCTGTGGTATGTACACACCTGTGACTTTATTTTGTCCCACAACTGCTTATCAAAAGACTTTTCCCCTCAAGCCTTAAACTGAAAGTTGGAACATGTGAAACGTATTTTGCTGGTTGAAGTAGGATGGATTATCATCGGCAGCCATCCCTCTTCCAAATTGCTATTTTATTTTCTGAAGGGGGAAAAGAACTGCTGAAAGCCTTAGCCTTCTATGTGAAAGAGAAACACCTTATTGAAATCTTTTGGCTTTTAGGGATAAGAAAGGAGACAATGTCATCAGCAACAAATTCCCCTTTGAATGTATGTCATCCTGTGATCTTGTGGGAAATCACTTGACCTTATGGCTATTGGCCTTTTTATTTATCCTTGTCCGGAAAGTGCTTTTTAGTTGAGATCAAGGCTTCTTAAATGCTTTTTTTAAAAGCCGCCGCTCATACATTCACTGCAGCCCTTCCAAGAAGTTGCCTTTGTTGTAGTCGTCGTCCCCCGCCCGCCATTTGCAGCTCTCAGTTAAAAGTGTCTCAACTTGGATGAAAAAGCATTATATATCAATTTGTGCCTTTAAAATACTTTTGTCTCTCTTCCTGTCCCACTTGAAACAGGCATATCCAAGTGTGTTTGAATGCAGCACTTAAGGTTAAAAAATCCTGCTGGAAATATAAATGAGGGTCAGTTGAAAATGTGTACATTGTATTATAGTGCAACATTTCAGAGCTAAACATTTCAAAGCACCATTCACAGAATTAGACCACAACACCAGGCAAAGGGTTAAACCCCCTCACTGATCTAGCTAGGTTGCACCAGAAATTCATTACTTTTTAAAAAACCATTCTCACAATCCCTTTTTAAAACAATAAGTTTTATTAGGCTTTCTAGAGAAAAATACAAAGGTTAATATCAAATCTCTTTTCCCATTTTTATCTGAACTAAGACTTTGATCTAAATTCCATTAAAAAAAAAACATAAAAAGAGGGGACAAAGGAGTAGAAAAAGATAAAGAAAAAAGAGTAGAAAAGAGGTTAAAAGAGAAAGATAGAAAAATAAAATTCCGAAAATAAAGAACTTAAAATCATTTGTCCTCTATATCTAAACGATATTTGCTTTGTCCAATCCAATATAACACCCAACAAAGCCACTTTCTGCAAACAAACATCTTCAATCATCTAATCCAAATATCATTATTCCTTTTTTCTTTTTCATGCAAAAACTCCACGAGAGGTTTCCAATCTTTAACAAACGTTAACAATGACTTTTCTCTAATTGAACGTGTCAATTTTGCCGTCTCTGCTAAGTTCATTCGTTTTAACAGCCGTTCTTCCTTTGTTGCTAATAATGAACCCTTCCATCTTTGTGCATATAAAAGTCTCACAGCCGTAATCATATATTGTAACAAAGTTCCATAGTCCTTTTCTAACTGTATATCCATAATCCCCAGAAGGAAGAGAAAATTCCATCCTCACTGACCTTGGCTCTCCAGATTAACGTGCCATTCACCATACGTGTAATGCTCTGAATTGCCCCATTCCTTCAGTATGTTTGATGTTGCCCTTGCCTGAATTTGCAACTCCTCACTTAAGGCAACGGTCAGAAACCTGTGAACTTTCAGATGTTATTGGATTACAACAAGGGGTCAGCAACCTTTTTCAGCTGTGGGCCGGTCCACCGTCCCTTAGACCATGTGGGGGTTCGGACTATATTTGGGGGGGGGGTGAACGAATTCCTATGCCCCAGAAATAGCCCAGAGATGCATTTCAAATGAAAGCACACATTCGACTCATGTAAAATACCAGGTAGGCCACACAAATAACCCAGAGATGCATTTTAAATAAAAGGACACATTCTACTCATGTAAAAACATGCTGATTCCTGGACCTTCCATGGGCCGGATTGAGAAGGTGATTGGGCCGCATCCGGCCCCTGGGACTTAGGTTGCCTACTCCTTGATTACAACTCCTATCATCTTTGGTGGTTGGCTTTGCTGGCTGGGGAGCTGATGGGATTCGAAATCTAGCAGCATTAGGGCAGCCACGGTTGGCCTTAAATTGTCTTTTTCTCCTCAATCTCCGTGGAGACACAATGAGCTGCCAGAGAGGGACAGAGCACAGAAGGTTCCATCTCCACCATCTCTTTTTTATATATATATAAATTATTTTTATCGGTTTTACAAATAATCACATTATGTCACATCGTACCCTCTTATTTTATCTCTTTGGCTCAACTGAGCCTAAAGACTTCATTCCCTCCTGTCTGGTTTACAAAATTAAACTTTACATCTTTACATTTCACTTTGTTTCCTATCCTTGTTATATCATTACCTAAAATATTATATTACTCAGCCTGAATAGGTAGCAATTTCATCTTGCAAATCTTCAGATAAGCCTGCTAATGATGTTAATTGCTTGCTTGTCTTTCATATATCATATGAATTTGTTCCAGATCCCCACCATCTCTAGTCAGGGCTGGGACAGTCTCCCTTTCCAAAAATCTGGAGAGCTACTGCCACTCTGTGTAGACAGTACAGTGGTACCTCATTTTACAGACGCTTCAGGTTACAGACTTACAGACTCCACTAACCCAGAAATAGTACCTTGGGTTAAGAAGTTTGCTTCAGGATGAGAACAGAAATTGTGTGGCGGCAGCGGGGGACCCCATTAGCTAAAGTGGTACCTCAGGTTAAGAACAGTTTCAGGTTAAGAACGAACCTCCAGAATGAATTAAGTTCTTAACCCGAGGTGCCACTGTACTGAGCTAAATGAACCAATGGTCTGGTTCAGAATAATCCCCAAAATCCCCAACAATCTTTCCCCCCCCCCCAGTCATTTTGCTTTCTAATTGCAGGGAGTGGTTCAATTCCGGAGTTCTTTCGAATTATGAAGCGGCAGTTTACAGAGGAAGAGTGGAGAGCAATCAAGTCCATGAACAGCGAATGGCTTCAGTTGGATATGTTTCATAGGCACTGGGTAACTGACCATTTTTATTTTTAACCGTTTATCCGTAATCCAGTCGACACAGCCCCTCTTCAAATATTTGAGTGGCTTTGTTTTGAATAACTTTTATTGAATCGTTTATGTATTTGCTTTGAAAGCCTACAAAGAAGAATCGGAGGAGGGTTTTGTTTGGCCTGCGTTTTGTAAAACAATTGTGTTTAAAAGTATCAAATGTACAAAATGCCGTAATGTTAATATATAACATAGAATGCACAATACAAATCTTAAATACTATAATGCACTATAATCATATTTCATACATCATTTCAATATTTGCTGCTATCGTTAACAATCAGTCTTTATGTACCATCTCCTAAAATATATTTAATTAGTGGGGTGGCATATTTTTCACTACTTCCAACACATCTATGGATTACATTTATCTCTCAGATTTCACACACCTCCTAATTTTAAATTACAGATCTCAACTTTAAAAAATGTACCAAAGTGCATCTAAAGTAGTATTTTAGGATGAAATACATTTAGAAATGTGTTCACCAAGCTAAAAAACGATTTTGTGAAAGAATGTGTGTTTTCATATGTATTCCTTTTTTAATTTTTTTATAATTAATTTTATTAAATTTCTTCATCAACTACATTAGTTTCATACAATATTTTTCACAATAATGGGCATAACACATATATATCATATATGAAGACACAAACATTATTCATACAAATACCCACTTATTAAACTGTCAGTAAATAGTAAATATTTTATAATTCATTAATCTGCTCTTTTGAAATTCTCATTATTACATTAAATATTAAATAAGAGAATATGAATTCCCTCCATCTTCCCTTATTCCTCCTTTCTTATATATTGCTCTGCTAATTTCCAGTCTTCCCATTTTCCTCTGTATCCCTCCACTTCTTTAACATGATTGTTAATGTAATAATTGACATTTCTTCCCCTATTTTTCTAATTGCTTCTTTTCCAAACCCAGCTTACATTTTTCTTGAACATTTTAGCATTCACAATCCTTGTCCAAGTTAAATTATACAGTATTTTGAGTTCTAGATTTATTTGCAATTCTTGGGGGGGGATTCACATAGTTTGGGAGACATAATAGAAAATATTCAGTTATTATCTCCATAATATATTAGCACCGTCCTCCAATATTGCTTCGCCCTTGCACACTCTCACCATGAATGGATACAATCTCTCTTAATGTTATTACAGAACCACCATTTCTTCCTGTAGACAGGAATAATTCTTCAATTATTTGCTTTGTACAACACTGAAGCATTTCCTCTGTCATCTCTTCCCTGCCAAACAATTGATGGGCAGGTGGATTCTCCAACCCTGTTCCAAGCCACCTTGCAATTTCTTGTCCCAAAAAAGGCACACGTATTGAGGTTTCTGGCTGGGGTTCCATTCCGATGTCATATAACCCCTGTTTTATTTATTACTTATTATTATTTATTTATTGGGTTTATATACCGCCGCCCATCATAAAATGTCAGGGAGGTTCACAGAATAAAATACAGGATGAAAACAAGTAAATAAGTAGAACAAGACAACAAAACAATAACACACACACACACCCTTCCCACTGACACATTTAAAAGGCAGTAAAATATTAATCTTGTCTGGTTGAAGAAGAACATTTTCACCTGGTGGCTAACACACACACACACATAATATTTATATATATATATATATATATATATATATATATATATATATATATATATTATCAAGGCACCCGGCGAACCTCCCTGGGTAGAGCATTCCACAAACGGGGAGCCACTGCAGAAAAGGCCTGTTCTCGTGTTGCCACCCTCCAGACCTCTCATAAAGGAGGCACACGAAGAAGGGCCTCAGACTTATGAATGTGAATGCAGAGTCTGGGACAGTTTATATGGGGAGAGGCAGTGCTTTTTTCCCCTTAAAAAATGTTTAGGGATCCTCTTATTTTGACTTGAGAAAATCAAAATTTTATAGTTCAAATCGGGAAAAGTAAATATAGTAAATGGACAAAAGGGGGTAGCAATAGAACTGACGGTTCCCTGTGCTAGAGAAGAAACTATTTTTTTATAAAAAAAATAGTTTATTCTCCAATTAGAGTCACAAAATGTTTAGGGGTATGCGTACCCCTGCACCCCCCCCCCAGAAAAAAATCACTGGGGAGAGGTATTGTGGTCCTGTGCTACACTGCTTGCCAGTTCATTTCCAGATTCAATTTGAGGTTTAAATTGTTGTTTAAAGCCCTAAACAACTCTGGCTCGAAATATGTGAACAATCACCTCCTTCGCTACAAACCCTCTTGAATGCTGATATCGGCAGAGGTGACACTCTTGGTAGCTTTTCCGCACTCAGAGGTGTGGCCCAGGAGAGGACCTTCTCTGTGGTGGCCCCTAAGCTGTGGAAACTCCTCCCTACAGAGGTGTGATTGGCACCTTCGTTATACAGCTTCTGGCTATTGCTGAATCCTCACCTCTACCTTTCCTTTTGACAGTAGAAGTGAATATTTTTAGAACCCACTTTATTTTCACGATTGCAAATTGTTTTAAACAGTTCTTAATGTTATGCTTTAACGTTGCAACACATGCCCTTGCACCCTTATAGTGAAGGGCAGTTAATAAATAAATAAGAATAACAGTTGATCAGTTAAATCATTAATTAAGCACAGAGAATGGCTTGATGGCACAATTCCACTAAAGCTAAACAAGGAAGATGCTTCGCAAGGTGCTATGGTGGGAGACTGCCTAAGAGCCATATATAAGCCACTTTGAGTTACTTGTAGGAAGAATAAACAGATAATCAATTAATTGAATGATAAGCTAAAACCTTCAGGTTTCGTGACCAGTTCTTATTAATGCAGTGGGCATTTTTGTAACTCTGGTATCTGCAAGGCGGCTTCTGTGTTGTCCCATGCTTACTCCTGCCAATTGTACTTGCAGGATATAACCATGGAAATTCTCTATACATAACAGGCAGAAGAAAAAGACCTGGGATTTGGCTCTGGTTTAATCATGTATAGGTGTGGAAGAATTTTAAATGTGGGACACACAGTATTGAGTCTTGTGGTTCCTATTGGATGGAGATTCAGAAAGCCACTCTACATATAGTGAATGGGATACTGCTCTTAACCATACACGGGTTGACCACCTGCATTTTGATTTTTTTTTTTACTTTTAGGCGCTAAAGAGAGCTTTATAAAAGCCATTGGTGTCGGGATAGGTTTTGACCTTCAGAGGATTGAGTTTAATGTATCCCCACTGCAACTGGAAGTGGGGAAAACATATAAGGAGACAGTTATGCTCTTGGATGGAGAAGAAGAGAAGCAATGGAGTTTTGAGGTGAGGCTGCAACCTACAAACTTCTCCCTAAAGTTATACTATATACTGTCTTGAAATACCATAAGATGTTGGTGTAACGCTTAAATTGCCTACTCGTGAGACCCTGCTTTCTTGGGATCCCGATTTGTGAGGGTGCAGGGGTAGGAGAAGAAAAGGAGCTTGCCTAGTCGGTGTTGGAATTCCTGATCTATGACTGCAGTCATGGGATTCTTGTCTTTCACATGACTGTATATGTTTTGACTCCACAGAGTGGGAAGTGATGGAGACAGGATGTTTGTGTTACTGTGTTCTGTGAAGTGCGACTGTTGTCCTTTGTTCTTTCATAGAATCATAGAGTTGGAATAGACCACAAGGGCCATCGAGTCCAACCCCCTGCCAAGCAGGAAACACCATCGGAGCACTCCTGACATATGGTTGTCAAGCCTCTGCTTAAAGACCTCCAAAGAAGGAGACTCCACCACACTCCTTGGCAGCAAATTCCACTGTCGAACAGCTCTTACTGTCAGGAAGTTCTTCCTAATGTTTAGGTGGAATCTTCTTTCTTGTAGTTTGGATCCATTGCTCCGTGTCCGCTTCTCTGGAGCAGCAGAAAACAACCTTTCTCCCTCCTCTATATGACATCCTTTTATATATTTGAACATGGCTATCATATCACCCCTTAACCTCCTCTTCTCCAGGCTAAACATGCCCAGCTCCCTTAGCCGTTCCTCATAAGGCATCGTTTCCAGACCTTTGACCATTTTGGTTGCCCTCCTCTGGACACGTTCCAGTTTGTCAGTGTCCTTCTTGAACTGTGGTGCCCAGAACTGGACACAGTACTCTCTTTGCTGTCTGATGCTAGAGAGAGAGGGAGCCATGTTGCAGTGCTCCGTGTGTGTTTATATGTAAATAAAGTAGATTAGCCAAAATGCTGAGTTACTGAGGTCTGTCACGCGAACTGCGCAGACTCTGCAGATCCCTAAGTGTGCCGATGTCGGTTGGTATCGGTTGCTGTGATGTACGGGCTGAAGAAAGCTTATGAAGCTCCCGAACGATCGACCCAGGAGGGAGGGAACATGCCAGTCGGGCATGTGTCTCTGCTAGAATCCTACTCGAGTGTAGGCTGAACTCCTGACAGTCAGTTGCATGGACAGTGTTTCTGGGTCCCCTCAAAAATCCATTGGCCTGGGGGAGACCATTGGTTGTACCTGATTGATTTTAAGGGCAGAGGGCGGACTCGAGGCAGAAATTCCTCCCTCAGGGAGATTTTTTGATGCCACCCTCTCCGCCCACCAAAGCCACTCCTCTCCCCCCCCCCCCGCTTGGTATTTGTGCTGTGTCTCTAGGAGCAATCAAAACTACATTCACGTTTTCCCTGTAATGGCCAAATTTGCCCATGGCTTTCAGGAGCAATTGTGCTGTTGCTTTGTTGAACTCTCATAAAGAAATTTGCTGGTGTTTGCAGAGAAGAAGGGGAAAAAACCGCTTTGTCCTCTAGCAATGCCGCACAACCTTATAATGCACCCAGTTGGAGCACCCGTAAAGCTTTTAACGTCTGCAGTCTGGGGAGACCTCATGCCAGTAGTGGCAGTAACTAACATTTAGACTCCTGTGTTTGCTTTTCGAAATGGGAAATGATGTTAATATTAAGTCACTGAGAAATAACCTCTTAACTTCACTTAGGGAACTCAGTTTCTGCTTTGATAATGTATGAAATGGGGGGGGGATGGGATCAAGTATAGTAGGTAAAAAAGAGACTTCTTTTTTTACCACCCACAGCGAACAGAGTAGAAATTGTCAAAGCACTGGTCTTCAGCTGATGAGTTAGGACCCCCCAGTAGGTCATGCACTGACAACTAATGGCTCCATTGCTGTTTTCTTTGTTTTCTGTTTCCTTTAAAATAGGGAAAAAGACAATCCAAATGATGGGGTGGAAGAGGGTTAAAGGGTAACCAAAGGGTAGGCTACTCTTCTGTGGTTGTGTAGAAGACAATGCATTAACAGCTGTGACTTTTTTCAGCACCGCTTGACAAATTTGCAGCTACCAAAATCCTCATTTCTGTGGACAGAGGGGCCTGGTGGAGTGGATTTTGCCCCTAGACAGGAGATTCCACACCCCTTCCTTAATATTACTTGCTGCAGATATGCTCTAGAGCAGATCCACCTTTGACAGGCCAACAGGTTAATTTACCTAGGCTGTCACTTCACCGGACTTCCTGAAACATGGAGCAACAATGGGGAAATGTAGGCAGTTTTTCCTGTCCGTACTATCTAATCTTTTACTCTCCTACATTTGCTTACTATTGGTGTTGGCAGTTATTCAGTATACTTTCTCCCTTTTTGCCATCTAGGAAACACGGCTAGATGATTGTCACCATGTTGCAGTTGCTCTGGGGAAACCAGGAGAGTTTGGAGAGAAGCCTTCTGCGGTAAGATGTTCGGGTAATTTTCAATATCAAGCAGAATTGTTAGTAGTTTTGTGATATTGTGTCTTCTGCCTTGAGATGGCTCTATGCTAAATAGCTGTTGAATTTTAAAATACACAATAGCACTCCTGACTGGAATACAACTCCAAGCAGCTGTTAATAAAAACCTAGAGTAGAAAATACCGTCCACCTGTATTCAGATCCTAGAATAAAATAGAATACTTGGGATATGATATTGGAGATCATCTAGCCCAATCTGCTGCTCAGTCCAACAGTTCCTGGACCTGCTCCGCTCTGCCACCAGAAAACTCCATGGTGGGGCTCTCTGCTGGCTGCTGCTAGTAAAGAACTTGCCGGCAACATTTCCGCCCCCCTTCATTTTGGTGGGTGGAAGGGGGAGCTTCACAATAATATGAGAGCCTGATGGACCAGGCCAATGGCCTGTCAGGAGTCCAGTCCCTGGCTTGATCACACAGTAAGCGTAGTTGATTAAAAAGGATGATTTATTGTCAAAACAACAGATAGCTCCGGAGAGCTTAACACAGCCTCTGCCATCATCAATCAAGATGACCCTTCTGAACATCCCTTCCGGTTACAGAAGATATTGAACTTTCTCACTTTGCGCCTCTTGCTTTGTTTCCGGTCTAACAGCCCTCCCCTTAGCCGACTCTTAGGAGGGATTGGATAAGCTCCAATCTGTTCCCGTTCTGACAAATTGCTTCCTTCTCTGTTCATGCCAGTTTGCCTCTCCCAAGAGCATTGGCTGGCTTCCAGCCCGCTCTCAGCCATTCCCTTATCAACCGGCATTCCAAGGAGTTGGGGAGTTGGCACTGTTGTTGTTGTTTAGTCGTTTAGTTGTGTCCAACTCTTTGTGACCCCATGGACCAGAGCACGCTAGGCACTCCTGTCTTCCACTGCCTCCCGCAGTTTGGTCAAACTCATGTTGGTAACACTGTCCAACCATCTCGTCCTCTGTCGTCCCCTTCTCCTTGTGCCCTCAATTTTTCCCAGCATCAGGGTCTTTTCCAGGGAGTCTTCTCTTCTCATGAGGTGGCCAAAGTATTGGAGCCTCAGCTTCACGATCTGTCCTTCCAGTGAGCACTCAGGGCTGATTTCCTTAAGAATGGAGAGGTTTGATCTTGCAGTCCATGGGACTCTCAAGAGTCTCCTCCAGCACCATAATTCAAAAGCATCAATTCTTTGGCGATCAGCCTTCTTTATGGTCCAGCTCTTACTTCCATACATCACTACTGGGAAAACCATGGCTTTAACTACATGGATCTTTGGCACTTTGGAGTTGGCACTAGCCAATGCTCATTCTGCCTGGCAGTTAACCCTCTCTGTTCCCGGCTGCTTTCTTCAATTGTCTGCAAACCTTCCCTGAGAGCTGGCTGCAAACCTTCACTGGGAGCTGGCTCATTCATGACAGGGCCCTTCTAGCCCAGCATCCTGTTCTCCCCAAGGCTCGCCAGATCTTGCAGTGAAGTGATGCTGGTGTCACTCTACAGATGACTAGCAGGAGATGGCAGAACCCAGCAGGGCTGGGCAGAGGGACACTTCCTCCCAACCAACCCCACTCACCCCAGCCTGATGTGAAGGGTGTTTGCATTGCGCTGTTAATAGCAAACGCATAAAAAACAACAGCAGAAAAGGGAGACTTATACATTGATACCCCACAGCTGACTTGCGTGGTTTTAAAAAAAAGCTAGCAATTAAATGCAAAGTTGCTAGAAGGGCTATGGTGCAGTTTGGGAGAAATGCAAACTTTGATGAATAGTAGCATAAAAATATTGTACTAAGTTTCAGAAGAGTTTGGTTAGAAACCTAGAAAAGATGAGATCCAATGTGGCAGGAGTGGGTGTCTGCCTCTTTTCTCTTCTACCTCCGTGTGCCTCCAAAATATGCTCCAGAGGGCTGGAGAACCACCCAAAGCAGATTTTGGAGGTCCATGGGGGAATGGAACAAGGAGGAGAGAAACCAGAAGTCTTGTTATGTAAAACAGATTTCTGTTGCACAAGCAAGTGGGCACCATTGGATGTCGGCCAATGTGAAAATATTAAAGCGGTTAAAGAACCGTGGGGTAGCAAAAGCAGAATCAATCAGCAATTCTTTCAAATCAACTGAAGCAATTAATGTATAAATATCTGCTTTTCACAAAATCTATTAAAGGGAGCCATGAATCACAAATGTTTCCATATGCTTTCTCCCTCACACAACTGAATGTTCTCAGTTATTTTGGGCATTTCTTGATGCGATCACACAACAGCATGGATTCCGTTTTCTTCTCTCTCATTGAATCAGCATGCATATGCATTGGTGCATACATTATTATTATTATTATTATTAATAATAATAATAATAATAATAATAATAATAATATACTGCCTTTCATCTGAAGAAGAAATACCAAGGCGGTTCACAATTGAATAAAAGCCAATAGCAAAATAACAAGAATAAACCCAGTTACAAAAATAAGACTACATTAAAACATCCATAATTAAAATATATAAAACTAAATCCATTAAAACAGACATAGTAAATGCTTGTCTAATCTGGTGTGTCTTCAAGAGCTGGCGGAATGCCAATATTGATGGAGCTTCAGCATATAAGATGGAGTGATGGACAGTTGTGTACCGAAAAATACAGAAAACTACACATGGCAGGGAAGAATGTGGGGCAAAGCAGACTGACGAAATGATAATGGACCAAAATGGGGAAAGTCTGATCCCCTTCACCCTGGTCCTTCAGATTCCAGAACCTTGGGGTTGTGCTCAAATGTGAACATACTGGGTTGCCTTTCAAAATTAGAATTAGATCTGTCTTTCTCTGCCTCTCCCATCTGTAAAATAGGTGTGTGTGTGGTTTTTTTAATGTTACAAACAGGGGAAAATAATTACAACCTTGTTCTTCAATCATGGAAATACTGATCTGCATTTCTGTGAATTGAATTCCCCTCCCTTCTTCTTCTCAGGTGCTTTCCTCTGCTGCGACCCAGACTACATTTACAACACTGACTTTTGATGCTTTAGTTGCCTCTGCTGCGCCTCTTGCACCTGAAGACCCTGCCTGCTGGGATAGCTTTTGTGCTAAGCAGGAATCGCCAACACGCCAGGGTTCCAATCCAAGATAAGAGAGGCTGCGTTTGCAAGGAGGGAAGCTGAAAGCACTCACAAAGGCCACACACTGTTCTCCTTTCCAGCAGTTAATTTGTATGTTTGGTGGTCTGGGTGGTGGGAATGCTAAAATTGCCTTTTGTGTTCTAGTTTTTTGGCTGTTCCGTATCAAATGATTACATTTTTCATTGACCTTTTCCAAGAAGACTGGATTCAGAAGAGGAAAAACTGTTGGGTTTTCTGCTCTCTGGCTGAGTTCATATTATTATCAGCTGCTGAATCTTTGTATTTCATTTCTGCAAATACAATCGAGAGAGGGAAGGAAAGGATTGATGTTGGCCGACTTCAAAAATATTACATCAATCCTGATTTAAATGTAGTATTTTAGTGGAAGAGTTGGTGCATTTCTATCTTTCCTCAAGTACCTTGTGTAATGTTTATCAGGAGGACTTAACATGTGTGGCTCTTTATGCAATAACCTGATTAATGCAGTAGCTCCACTACACCACCATTTGAAGACACAAATCATACAAACAGAACAATTATCCATTCGGCAATACCTAAGAAGCCCCTGTGCAGTCATGGTAAGGACAAGGGCACATGGCCACCATCCCACCAAAGGGAAGGGCACACTTGTTCAGTAAAACATGAACCAGCTCTTTATTGTTTATTTTCCTGATAAGCCATTTGCCATTTCTGATTCCTAAAGTACTTGCAGTGAGTAAGTCTGCAAAGTTATAATGTGCATATGTAGAGTATTTGGCAAGAGATGCCTTGGTCAATGGAATAAAGCGGTACTAGGACAAAGGTCCGAATCGTTAAAGCTATGGTTTTCCCAGTAATGATGTATGGAAGTGAGAGCTGGACCATAAAGAAGGCTGATCGCCGAAGAATTGATGCTTTTGAATTAGGGTGCTGGAGGAGACTCTTGAGAGTCCCATGGACTGCAAGGAGATCAAACATCTCCATTCTGAAGGAAATCAGCCCTGAGTGCTCACTGGAAGGACAGATCGTGAAGCTGAGGCTCCAATACTTTGGCCACCTCTTGAGAAGAGAAGACTCCCAGGAAAAGACTCTGATGTTGGGAAAGATGGAGGGCACAAGGAGAAGGGGACGACAGAGGACGAGATGGTTGGATAGTGTTCTCGAAGCTACCAGCATGAGTTTGACCAAACTGTGGGAGGCAGTGGAAGACAGGAGTGCCTGGCGTGCTCTGGTCCATGGGGTCACGAAGAGTCAGACACGACTAAACGACTGAACAACCACAAAGTGTGGAGACCCTACAAATTTTAAAAGGGCAAGGGAATGACCACTTAAGTAATGGGTGGATGATCCAAAACTAACAGCAGGGTTTTATGTGGAACACTACTAAACCTTAGGTTACGTAAATACAATCCTGGTAACGACACACACAACGTAACAGCCAGTTTTTGACTATGTAACTTCTATTTCAAACACAGTTCAACATAGAATATCACACAAAGTGTAATTCCATAGATCAACACATCATGCAAACAGAATATATCAAGAAAATTAAAGTCCAATGTATGGTCAGGAGATAAAGTCCATTCGGTTCCTAAACTGGCATATTGGCAATAACCACAATATGGTATTCTTATCTTATGATGTTCCACATATTGCTGCTTTGAGGATTCTAACGTTCATTGTATGTAAATATTGAATCAGATGGGAAACTTGAAGGTATGGCACAGCAAGGATTCCGGGATAATACCTTGTTTCTCCCAACCGGGCTTTGTCAACCGTGCATACTCTTAAATTAAACAAACATGATATAACATAATCCTTATGCAAACTAAGTAACATAACATACTAATTAAACAAGTTTACATACCATATTCTTTTATGACGGAAAAATGGAACAGAATAAATTCAGTTAATCCAATCACTGGCCAAAGTTCCTTTTTAGACAGAGAGGTAGTATAGATTCTAACACAGGTGGCTACAATTTCTGTAAATGTTAATGAAAGAGACCATATTTTCATGTGTAAAGAAATTAATGATGTACCTTTAAGAATTAACACATAATGACTCATGGATGTGAGATGCTGTAGAAGATTTTGTTGCACCTTCAGTTGCTGCATGGCCGCTACCACACCGACGATGAGAAAACAAGCGGGGAAAAGATAGTAAATCTCCATTCTTAGTGCATGGTGATGGTAAAAATGTTACTGATCACCAAGAAAATAAGGGGTCTCTAGTGGCACTAAGAAGCTGAAATAAACACAAGGAGATAACAGATAAATTATGAATGGAATAGGCAGGTTCTGCTCAAAGTTCAGATATATGAATAGCAATTCATATCCAAAGTTTGGATACGTGAATAGCAAGAGTTTTCTGCACTGGAACCCCTGACAGAAGCTGGGTTTACAAAAAATAAAAAAGAGTTCTGCAATGCAGTACTTGAGCAGAAAGTGCAGCCTCACATGCTTATTTTGGCTTATAATGGACTGTATTTTTCCTGGTGCATTTTAACAATGATCAACATTTGTTCAAAGGTTTCGCCTCAGTGAACTGAAAATAGCACTCTCAAGGTAGCTATCCATATTGTATAGAATGCATTCTTTAATCATACGGTGTAAATATGAAAGCAAGGGGAGAAAATGTTCTCCAGTAACATTTGGTTCCCTGGAGTTGTTTTGTTTCAAGGTTGTAGGCAGTGCTGCTCTTGTCTGGGCTTGAAGTGGCACCCTGGAAAGTCTCCAGTTCTGGCAAGGCCAAGCCCGAGTTGGGTGGAAATGCATGCAGCAAGCAGCAGTAGCTGGTGCAGTAGAGCTGCCCTCCTAAACACTGGCATCAAAGTAGTTTATCTGGTCAAGGCTAAGTGGACACACTGGCAGAGCCAGTCCAGCACTCCCACTGGTTCATCCACATAGCTGCATCGTTCCTGATCCAGGTAAGTTACAGTCAAGCTAGTGACATTCTACCGCATCAACTGCTACTGGCAAAGCAAATACTAAGCAGGAAGAGTCTGACCACTTCCTATAACTGACACCTCCAGTTAAAAGAGTCAGATACATGATGTGGATGTTGGGATGCGTCCTGGGAGATGGGGGCAATTGGCAGGCCCCCAACTGGCTCCAGCCCACCGTCCAGCAGCCGGGCGAACTCCAGTTCTCGGAACAGCATCAAAACTGCGACTCAAGCCTCAGAAACCTTTAGAGACTGAGCACGCAAGCCAGCAAAGATAAGAACTCTATGCAACAGAAGAGCGGAGAGAGGCATATGTAAGCATATTTACAAGCATTTTATTCAGCATCAGGACAAAGGAAAAACATGTCTGCTCCCCTTCGTGTTTAAGCAAAAGCATAAGCGAAAGCTATACACAATGGAACTTCCCAGCAGGCTGTGCTGGAAGTAAACAGACATACAACAATCCACACATTTGTTTTAAGGTGGAACGGAACATCATAATCCTAACATCCTCCCCCTTTCCGTGTAACCTGTTTTACCTGTGGTTCAACCCAATTGCAACCACTGTACATAAACCTTAAGTTGTTCTCTGTCAACAGCCTTAGACAACAGATCTGCAGGATTTTCATTTCCTGGCATGTAGGGCACTTGAAGTTCCCAGCAGGCTGTGCTGGAAGTAAACAGACATGTGACATACAACAATCCACACATCTTTTTTAAGGTGGAACAGAACATCATAATCCTAACAGTGGAAAGCCCCTTCAGAGCCACAAAGTAGACCAGCTTTCTCAAACCTGCTGCCCTTCATATGTTGTTGGACTCCCAAATCCCATCAGCCACAGCCAGCATGGTCAATGGTTAGGGTTGATGGGAGTTGTGGTCCATCAACATCTGAAGAGGCATCATGTTTAGAAGGCTGGAGTTGACAATACTGGACTAAATGGGCAAATAGCCTGAGCTCGAACATGGCAGCAACTGTCTGGTCTTTTTGGCTTCAGCACCCTGGACAGATCACAAAGAGCAGATGATTTGTTCAGCAAGTCCAACTGAACTTGCCAGGTAGGTTAGGCTGAGAGGTGGTGGCTGGTCCAATGACACCTAGTAAACTACATGGCTTGAGTGGGGATTTGAACACAGGACTCTCAGGTCTTAGTCCAACACTCTAACCGTCACACCAAACTGGCTTTCATGGGAATGTTTTCCTTGCCAGGATTTCAAGTTAGCTATTTTTGTTTTCGTTTTTGCTGCCATGGTTCTTGGAAAATCCTTAAGAAGTCCCTCTCCTGCTGCACACAATGAAGGTACTTGTTTAAAAGCACAAAGTGCTTGAGTTTTAAATCTTGCATTGTACTCTAGAGCAGCCAAGCTGGATGATTCGATAACTCTAAATTCAAGACTGCACAAAGGTACAACAGCCCTCATGAGATCTCTGTTTTACAATTCAGTGGAACCTCATTTATTCACAGTGAAGCATCACACTTCTCTGAGGAAGCGACTTTTAGCACATGCCACTAATTGGCATCATACCCTTAATGGCACCACATTGATTACCCAATACTAAGGGATGAAAACATTGGAACTTCTATGGAAAGAGGTGGAAAATTTTCTTTATGGAATATTTAAAAACTCTTTAGCTTTCCTCAACCTTTTAGTGGAACTGAACCATAGCACTGGTTTGAGCAGAGGAATCCTGGGGTTCTGTTGCAGCTGCTTTCTATCTTTGATAGGATATAATAGCACTGTATGTGGATTCAGGACTTACTTGTGAGTAATAACTTGATCTTTATTCAGGTAAGCAACGGTACAGGCTGGGGTGCAGACACAGTGCTCAGAAGTCAGGATTCAGGATTCAGGATTTCAGATAAGGGTATGAAGTTCAGATAAGACAGAAGCAACAAAGATGTCCCAACAAGTTTTCCCACCCCTCCCACCAGCTTTAAAGATGTTATTGTGAGTTGTCACCCACCACAAAGTAATGTTGGAATTAGTCTTTAGGAAGTTTTGTTGCAATGTGAGCTGGGAGATGGGGTAGGGGTTAGAATTTATCTGCAAACATTTGCCTCCGGGCTTTTAATGCAATATATGGTCGTGAGAACCACAAATATAACTGCTAATATTCTCATTTGCATTTAGATAAACATTATAAATACTGTTTAGGTAATAAGGGTTCTCAGGCTTCCTAAATGGATGCTAATGGTAAAAACAAATTTCAGCTTACCTGAAATTAGCTGTTTATTTCTATGCATGATTAACTCGCTGACAGACATTTTGTCATTTCAATTACCATACCAGCCACGCTTGGAAACGTAATATCACAACAGCACAATTCATGTGGAGCAGATTAAAGAAAAGGAAGGATTGTAAAAATTTCACTTGATCTTCATATTTTCTGATTGCGTAGTCAGAGTAAAGAGGAGGAAGCTAAATGCCAGGGCCACCCACTCGACTGGTTGGAAGAAGGCAAGAAGATAGTATCTGAACAGAGCCTGACTTTCCCATCATGTGTTGTTGTTGTTGTTGCTTAGTTGTTTAGTCGTGTACGACTCTTCGTGACCCCATGGACCAGAGCACGCCAGGCACTCCTGTCTTCCACTGCCTCCCGCAGTTTGGTCAGACTCATGCTGGTAGCTTCAACAACACTGTCCAACCATCTCGTCCTCTGTTGTCCCCTTCTCCTTGTGCCCTCCATCTTTCCCAACATCAGGGTCTTTTCCAGGGAGTCTTCTCTTCTCATGAGGTGGCCAAAGTATTGGAGCCTCAGCTTCACGATCTGTCCTTCCAATGAGCACTCAGGGCTGATTTCCTTAGGAACCGGCAAGCCACTTCAGTATCCCTGCCAAGAAAACTCCATGGACAAAGACAACAGGCATCACCTGTTACCTGTTTTTAAAAAGAA